GTGTGTGTGTGTGTGTGTGTGTGTGTGTGTGTGTGTGTGTGTGTGTGTGTGTGTGTGCTTTTTGGTGCAGCTGTAGCTGAGGGTTATTTGCTATACTCCAAAGGCTACTCTCTGTGTAAGATAAAAAATCTAGCATTAACTGTTGGAGTTAATGCTTTTTGTCTGTTAGCAAAATATCTCATAATATGTACTCAACTATTGTTTCTTATCATTTGTGCTGTAGATGAAAAATATGTTAAAGCAGTTGTTCTGTGCTTACAGGGTATAAATATAATGTGCAATATTTTATATTGTTCCGGGAAACAAAATCGACTCATCAGTACAACATAAATAACATAAATGTCTATATCAGAGCTATTTTAGCTTAAATATTTAGTTTTTCTCTGATATTTTAATCAGTTTTATCCAACAATGCCTTCCTTTGTTGATTTAAGGATTGAAACATAGAACCTCCACTTGAATGTTTTTTTTTTCCCCTTTCACTGAACTAAAAGGCTGAACTAAATAAATGCCTACCGGTACTTCCATCACTGGGCTCACACGCCAGCTGAAAGCATCATTTATGCTTAAAGCAAGTTACAGAAACGTGTGGAGCTGCAGCAGCCTCTGCTGGATGTACTAAGTAGTGGTAGTCGAGTCCAGAAAAAAAAGAGAGAAAAGAAAATCAACAGGAAGCGCTCTTCCTGTTGTTCCTACTGTCGCCACGAGGGGTCAGCACGTGACTAAAAATTAAAAAAAAAAACTTTAAAGCGAAACCACAGAAGCAGCCGTCAGGATTAGCTTGCATGTGGTTGCTGTTAATTCGCTTGATACTACTGCGAAAACTATTGCTACAAAAGGTCCTGGAAATACCTTTTCAATGGAGGTAAGTTTTAAATAATCACATTTACATGAGTGATGTTTTGTTTTTTTTAAGTTAATGAAGAGGCGATGTTTCGAAATACGTTCTTAAATACTAATGTTACTAACTAAGTAGTCATAAAACAAGGATTCGTTGTTTTATTGTGTTTCTTTCGCATTGCTCCAAAGGCAAACAGTTTGTGTTGATGTTTTTCTGGGAGAAGTACAGTAAAAATTAAATGGGTAAAACTAGTTTAAAAATCGTCCCAGTGAACTAAGTCAGGCTTATTCATTTTTACTTTTCTTACTTCCTGGTTTTTATTTCCGTATAAATCATCTACTTGCAAAGATAAGAGCTTTAATCATGTTTTAAGTTGAAAATAAGAGTTCCAGCTTTCCTCCAGAGTTCATTGTGCGTGGTTTGTTGTACTGGAGTCAAATGAGAAGGAAATCTATTTACCGTTTTCTCTATAATAACATATCTTTCACAACACCTGAGAAGAAGTGTTAATTAGGTCTTATTATGATCTTACAGGGAGACGAGAGTTAACTGTTTTCCTGTTTTCATTTTCTGAACAGGAAAAGGATCGTTTCTATTTGAGTAATGAATAATGTGTTGATCTATGTATATCAGAAATTGATCCCCTAACTCCTGTTTTGCTATATTTCTCAAAAAGAAAAAAAATCAATAACCATAATATAATATTTCTCCTAAAGCTTTCTTGTTTAAATTGGTTTTGGTGGATTTTTAGTGGCTCCTCATGACTAGGCTTTCATTGTGTGTGTGTGTGTGTGTGTGTGTGTGTGTGTGTGTGTGTGTGTGTGTGTGTGTGTGTGTG